TCCCCTGGCGCGCCGATGCCTGCCAGTTGCGCGTCACCTCACCGGGTACTGGTTAAAGCGGCCAAAACGTTGGGCTTGTACGCTATTTTGGGGTGCGGCAATACAGTTCAGCTCTGTTCCAGCGCTTTGCCACAACGGCACAGTGAAGGCGCGGGGATTATTGCAGACCTCGCTCTCGCTCTCGTTGTGAGTGTGGGAGGCGGATCAGAAACTGGCTGGTTTGATGGTTGCCGTGGAAAAGCTGCGGTGGAATAATTGGCCAACATTGGGGTTCTTTCATGGAATGGATGATTGGAGCACGCAGCATGTAGGTACAGTGTGCACCTACATAGGGGGGGCTGCATACGCACTCGCCCGTTCTTGGCTGCGGCATCGTTGCTGGCTACTGCATGCTGCGCAATCCATGAGCCCATTTATTGGTCGGCGGGATGTTCGTTCACTTGACGACGATGATGACGCCTGCAGTCTGCGTAAGTAAACACCGAGAGTCCCAACCAACAAGCATAGAGGGGATCAACTCAATTGTTTTGATCATGAGCTATTTCTCTTGCTGGTGCACCTTCACGCTCACCTCCCTACGTTCATATCCGAGTGGCTTTCCCACGACATTCCAGCTACGTTCGAGTCTTTGCCACCGTTGTTATTGCCACCACCGAATGCGACATCCTGCAGATATCCGGTTGATCCAGCATGAAAAGCCATCTGGTCGGGGAAAACATGCTTGACCTGTAAGCCACAACTCGTCAATCTCCAAGGATATCTGCCATCTTTGCTTCTAGAGGCTCTCTTCCAAGCCATCGCGGAGTAGTCGTTGGGATCTCCGCGTCGTGTAGTTCATCGTTGATGCACAGGCCGTTCGCTGGACCGCTTTGATGGATTCCAGGGTCCTGTTCGTTTGGAACCATCTTGTCAGCCTCTGCCCAAGCTCACTGGTCAGCAGGCAACATGGCCCTCGTTCCTACATCCACTGGCTTTTTTTTTTTTTTTTTTTAGTTTGAAGTCCCAGTTGTTATTTCTCGTGTTCCTGGTGCATTCTCCAATCCCCAGAGGTTTGAGTCGGCATGGCCCCACGTTGCGCAAGCATGGATCATGCTTCGCGACACACAGCAATTGCATCACCTTGGCCCCGTGCTTTCCAGTGGAGGCTTCGATGTGAAGTGGGGCGGGGGGAGGTGGCAAGATGCCACGAAGTACCGAGTACCCCGTTTCGTGCACGTGACTGCCTCCGCGCCAAGCCTACCGACGTCTGCCCTGAGCCGCCCAGCCTCGTCATCATGAGTCTCTGAGCTGCCTCATCCTCCAGACGTACTCCAGGTGCCTAATTCACCGCCCACCTCCGACATCGCCTAGTAGCATCGTCATCACCTGGCGCATTATCCTCCGACCAACCCGACTTTGATCTTTTACCTGATAACATGGAGGAGGAGCGTCTCTGGAAGTTCAGCCGCCCCGAGTGGCTGAACAGCATCTGGGCTCGTAACGCGGGTGTCTACGGCGCGGGAGCTCTGGTAAGTCGCGAACTCTTACCGGCGGGCATACGACCTGTAGATGCCAGATTTTCCTTTCCTCGCAATGGAGATACTGGTCATCACGGCACTATGCGCCTCCCCTCGTTGCGCGCGCAACCAGCTAACCGGGTCATCCACGCAGTTCTCCATCGCCTTCTACGTCATGCTCGACTCCGCCGTCTGGTCCAAGTCCCCCAACAACGGCTCCGACGTCCATGTCAAATTTGTTGACTGGCTACCCTTCATTTTCTCCAGCCTGGGCATGCTCATCATCAACTCGGTCGAGAAGCAACGCCTCAGCGCCGACTCGTTTAGCTACAGTGGATCTGGCGTCGCATGGAAGGCCCGGGTGGTCCTGTTCCTAGGCTTTGCCGCCCTCGCCGGTGGTATGGCTGGAGGCGTCACTGTCTTTATTCTCAAGTTTGTCGTACCTAGTGTGGCCATGCCCGCCTTGAGCATGGGCATTGAAAATGTCGTGAGCAACGCCTTGGTTGGCCTGAGGTGAGTTCAGCCCGCTGTCTTCCCACAACTGAGGAAGATTTCGCTAACCGTTTCAGCTCTGTCGTTCTTTGGGTTAGCCAAAACATGGAGGACGAGTATGCTTATAACCTCTCCCTTTAGATCCCCACTAAGATCACCAGGGATTGAGACGGACAGTTGGATGGCTTCAAACCCCAACCCATTGATGGGTTTGGAAACCAGTCCCAGGTGGCTGTTGAGTGTACAACAAGGGAGGGCCATCCTGGCTGTAGGGCGTCGGACCAGTCGCACAAAACAGAACCCTAGGTGTCATGGAGAAATGACTGTTAGAACATAGTATTGCTGGTCCCGATGAGGCTGTGATATCGCATGAGGTATCGATCAAGAGACCTACGGGGATCTCAAGGTGATTTTTGTGATTTAGCGTTATTGATAGGCAAAGAAATTTATACCTGCAGAAGCTCTTAGATGCCGCTAGTGACCACGAGGGTGAGAAATTGGAGCATGACCTTGCGGGGTTGCAGATGCGCACTTCACATGATTAAGAACGGCAAATCCATGTTTGACGAGGAATAACAGGATTGTCATGAGAAGTCAAGGTTAGGGCCTAGAGACTTGGTTACGTAGCGATTTCAGATACGGTGACCATGTGGCAATGCTGCTTGCCGTATGGTTCTAGGCTGGCCATCGCAGGCGGCTAACGTCACACTGAGTCCATACTGCATCCCCACCAATGTCAACAACCCACCTCGACTTTGTTATTCCAACTACCATCCCCAGCCATCACATCCGACCACCGATATAAAAAAGCCAACAGTCACATTACTTTCTTTGAATCAAGATCATACCAGTCATGGCCGACCGCTCTCGCACAGCTCCCAACGGCGGCGTATCTCGCAGTCGCAACGGCACGTCGGCCAGCGTCCGCCGCAACCTCTTCCAGAGCCAGTTGACGCGGCGACCGACGGCCAGCTCTTCGACGTCGGCTGAGACGCTGCATCTCGACGCTGACGTGCTCTCCGACACGTCTGACATTGTCGTCCGCGACAAGCACGGCGAGATTGAACTCGGCGATCCACCTACGCCGGTGCTCGAGGACGAGGACGAGGTTCCGCTGGATCATCGCCAGGAGAGCGAGAGTAAGTGATTGCCCTCACGTTTACGCGGGATTACCAACTTGAAGTCAACAAAGGCTTATGGTTTCAATAGAGGAGAGACAACGCTTGGCCGAGGCCGTCAAGCATCACCAGATCCATCGCAGTTCTGTGCCAGACCAACCCGAAGGTCCGTCTGCGTCCTCACTTCAACAACAACAAAAGTCAAGTCACTAATTTGCAACTACAGAACTCCTAGAAGCTGTCAGGGCAAGTCTCAGAGCCAAAGTCGCAGCCCTGGCGGAGGACAACTGGATGTTCGAGCCAGAGGAACAGCCCCGTGGTTAACCATGCCTATGTGCCTATTCAACGCCTGCTGTCTATGTTTTTCTCTCTGGTCCCTATGATACACGAAGTCCAACCCACGCAGACAGCCCATTAGTCCAGCTCATTAATCCAGCCCCTCTGGCGCCGGGGCATCGATACGCCGCACAGCTGGCCGCCCCCCCCGCTGCTGCGGAGGCGCACCGCCAGGCGCGCCTCCGCCAAACAGCCCGCTCATCATGTCCATCAAGGGATTACTCTTGCGGGGCTGGGCAATCCCAAAGTACATCTCGCCGATCATCTGGAGCGCATCCCCCCACGTCTCCGCCTCGTTGATCTGTGTGGCGTACTTGGAGACGAGTCCCCTGTACAGCTCGGGAGCTGGCCGCGGGACGGCCATGAGCAGGAAGCCGAGGAAGTTGAGGAGCGGGAGGCTGGGGAAGATGCGGATATCGCCGCTGGTGCCCGAGACGTCCTGGACGCCCAGGTTAGGGCTGTCAGTGCTCAGAGTGCTGGTGAAGAGGCGGTAGCAGGTATTGGCGGCGCGGATGTTGCCAATAAGCAGGTAGGGTAGGATGACTCGACCGGCGAACAGGCCAGCCTCGTGCGGCTCACCCTCCTTGTACCACTTATATTCCATCTTAGTCAAGACTTCGGGAGAGTCGTTAGTTCCCAATATCAGGTGCTTCTCTGCCTCGTATGTGTCGTGCTCTTCAGCATATAGCGATCCCGCAACGTGGTGCAGCTCTGGGTCGCCGGCCGGAAACTCGCCAAACTTGGCTGACCATCTATCCAAGGCTCGTGTCAGCACAGCGTCCACATCGAATCGTTTCCTACTACATAGTACTCACCCCATCATCTCGCCAATGAACTTCTTGCGCGTGGGCTCCTCGGAGTCAAACAGGCGCAGACAGGTCAGCAGCCGGCCCTTACTGGGCCCGTCCGGCTTGAGCTCAGCCTGGCGATAGACATCGACGAGCATGATGCACAGATCGCCACCGCTGCCGCCCTGTCCAGCGCGGAGCAGCGACTGGGCGACGCTGCCGAGGACATCGATGGCGGCGGGCCAGTTGGACGTCTTGATGTAGCGGGCCGCGGCGACTCGGGTCTGCTGCTGGGCCTCGTAGTAGTCGCCCTCGGTGATCTTGCTCTGCAGCCGAGCCACGATGCGGTCGACCTTGTTGGCCATGATGGGCGAGTCGGGGGTTGCGTGGGCGGATGGGATGGCGTAGATGTAAGCGGCGATGATATATAAAGTAATGCGACAAGGGACTGCCGTAGAACGTATCTAGGAGGAAGACTCGAGATGGTGAGCTGGAGCTTGTCAAATAGGTGAGTGTCGTTTGGAGGGGTTGTTGGCCTTGCTAGTTCCACCAAGTTTCCAAGCTGTGAAATTACCCCACAATATGTTGGCCTAGCCCCATGTGCGTCACATTGATACCACCCATTCAAGTCGCCTGTGTCACAACCTTTTCATAGGTATTCGAGACTAAGAATTGAGCCACCATTTAGTAGGTAGGTACCTAGTTAGATGCCACACGGGTAGATACCTACCTATGTACCGATGGAAAGATGCGACAAAAAGAAAGGGAAACGCGTGATCTGGGAATCGAACCCAGGGCTCACCGGAGATCCACGATGGGAGCGGTGAATTTTACCACTAAACCAATCACGCTGGGTATTTGATTGAATTTAATGTGGGTCACGATAACAGTCTCTATGAGACTGAGCACTGGCAAATGGGCTAGGGCAGTGAAGGCATGACGGGCAAACCGCCTGTTCCACACGGAATCTACAAATTGTAGATCAAAAGGGAATTGTAGCAGTGCTAAGAGCTGAGCAGACCCGGAATTTGGTTTGGGAGACTTTCGCAACCAAGGTTGATCGCGGTATAACCCCAAGATGCCAAAATCCAAGCCGGGGTCAGTAGCAGTCTCAAGGAGCAGAGATGAGTCTGTGAGCAGGGGGAAAATGTGATGATGCGCAAACTACCGGTCTCTGTGTCTGAAGTAGAGAGGAGCGGATGTATGAGTTTTCCCAGGAGAAACCAATTCTGCAATTGATGTAGAAGGGGTCCTGGAGCTATTAAAGTAGAGGCAAATCCAACGTGGAAGACGGAACCGACAAAGTAGGTGTGAAGCTTGTGAAGCTTGTGAAGCTTGTGAAGCTTGTGAAGCTTGTGAAGCTTGTGATCGAGGTGGAAGGGATCAACAGGCTCACTGTGATTCTCCATTTTGCAGGATGCGAGAACAATACTCTTTAGCATATTTCTGCTCCCCCCTGTTGTTAGATGAATGAGAGAAAACTAAGTTGACGGTTGTGTGAAAAATCTGTGTCGAAAAGTGGGTGGGACTGTTAGGTCGGCTTCTAGACTACCTACCCCCTAGCATGTAAGTCATGGCCTAGAAGCAAGTTAAAAGCAGCCTTCCATAACCTGCTCCTCAAACATTGCCGTTGCCGCTCAGATGATAGTAATGAAGAAGAAAAACACTGAATCTTTATAAGAACTTAATTAAAAATTGCTCTAAAGGGATATTGAAACGACCACAGCAGATGAGAATAACCACACTCCAATTGGATAGCTAGCCCCTACGGATGTCGGGGCGAGTCGCAGAGGAAGGTGTCCAGCCTACTCCAATAGAGTAGGTAGCAGCTGCTAGTAGCACGACCGCATTTGGAGTAGACAGTCCAAGGACTTCAAGATAGCTAGAAAAGTGTCTAATTAGACACTTTATCCAATGGGTCTTTGGCTGCGGAAGGTGGCAAGGCTTGAATGTCGGGTTGCAGCCTAAGAGTGCGGTGAGGGTTCGAGATGGACGGACATGCGACACCAGCAATGAAGGAAAAGAGGATTTCTGCGGCAGTGAGCAAGGCAATGATGCATTAGAAGAAGATATCATTAAAAAGAGTATTAATACAATGTTGAATGTGAAGGCCATCACCATTACCTCACTGGAAGGTCACGTTCCATCACAGTGTTGATGATGATGATGTCTGTTCTACGTCGCCTACTGCGACTGCCTTCCATTTTTTTAACTCCTGGCCCGTAGCCCCCTAGTTAGATGACAAAGGCAGCTTCCGGCCCCCTAATTAATCCATCGTCCAACCCAGCTCGCTTCAATATACTGGGGTTTCGTTTTACTTTTCCACCGTCGATAACTATGGGAGTTTCGCAAGCCATTTGAAAACATATATAAGTCCTTGTCTTTATATAAGAAGCGTCTAAAGAAGAAACCCTAGAGTGGTGCAGGGGAGAGTGAACGCCCAGTACACTCAGCTAGGCCACTGCAGCCAGCTAGTTAGCCAGCTATGAGCCGCTATATGTCCGGCTGAAGTAATGACATATATGAAAAGGGGCTAAGGGTCTGAGGGGAGGCTGAGAGAGGAGGCTGACAGGGGAGGCTGAGGGGAGTTAGATAATCAACAGAGCGAAGCTATTGAGATTGAAGGAAGTACGCTCTAAATAGGCGACTTGAAATCCTGAATCTATCGCTGCCTTAGCCTCTCTGCTGCTATCTATAACTTTATAGAGCTCTATATATCTAGCGGTGCCTTTTTATACTCCTAACTTCTTAAAGTGGTAATATCTAGGGATGAACTGCATCATAACCGCACCGCCCACTTAAGTGAGTAAGACTGAATAGAGCTATTACCACTAAATAAAGCAAATGATAATATAGAACTCGGGAGATAGGAAAGGGCAATAGGTAATAAAAAAAATACGGGCAAATGCTCCAGCTCTTACCTCTATCATTCTATTAAACCTAACTGATGACGGGCAATAAAGTAGCTGGCCAGGAGCGTAATAGATAGAGCTGAGAAATGCATGGGGCAGTTCTCTGCTAGTAGAGCATTGAGGGTGAGGAGCAGCTATAAGAGCTGAAGCAGCTGCTGCTATAGCATCTCAGCTGCATTAAGCTCTATAGCTGCTGTTTTAGTAGAAGCTAACTACTTATAGCTGACCTCTCTATATATGAATTACAAGACCTTATGTCTAAGGTGATGCCCACTAAGCTGGATAAAAACTACAACCTTAAGATGCAGCAAGTTATATAGAGTATTATATCATTGAGGTTAAGCAGGTTAATGAGATCTATATAGTAAGTGCGGGTATTTTTATCAATACCCTAGAGATTTTTAACTGACTATATCAACCTACTGCATGCTTGGATTTAATAAGGCGTTAGCATACCTAGAGAATGAATATGACATTGGGTCTCTTACGATGGGTTCAGACGATAGACGGGCGGGCTTTGGACAGGAATTTCGTACACCCAGCGCTCGATTCATACCGAAAACTATTCATTCGCGTCCGTGGTTTTGGAAGGCGGCCTGCTGATGGCTGGTGCTACGCGGGTAGCTGCATTTCAGAAGGAGTATTCCGGGTCCTGATGGGCAAGACGAGCGAAATGATAGGCTGTAGTTAGCATGCCAACCAACGAAATCAGGCAGGGTATGCAGCTAGTGATGGACAACATGGGGCTAAAGCTGTGAGAAAACTCGCTGTCATTGGGGTATTCTAAAGTACAAAGAGCAATCAATCATCTGAAGCCTCCCACCTTACATAAGCCACATTGTATCGTTCCATCAAACATCCCGTCACCCGTGGAAAATGCGAATAGTGCTGCTGAAGGAATGGCTTCCAGAAGAAGCTTTGACTAACAGTGGTGTGCGCCTTGAAGAATGCCTTGTGGCTCAGTTTCGATGATTGGCAGATGCAATCGACAATAGGTTTTAGTAGCCAGTATGCTGGCACCGCATCACAATTGCCTTATAACTTGACCTATCCCATCCACGGACATTTCACAGCCCGAATCATTTCATTCATAGTTCTGTAATCTTTATTCATAAACGCTTGCTACGTTGAACCCATTGTGTGCTATACATTACACACTCATCCTGGCTTATCCCTCCCACATAAACTCCTGCTTGACGCGCGGGATCAGCGGCCGTAGGGCCATGCCATAGTCTCCTCCGTTCGGCGTCCTCAGCAGAGTGTGAATGTGGAACTTTGCGGGCTCCTTGTTCGCCAAGAAGACACCTGAGTGGTGGTCAAATTCGATAATGACCACGGGGCTCTGGATACGGTAGTAGAAGGGATCCTCGTTGCCGAACCCGCCGATCCAGCACCAGTACGTCTCGTGGAACCAGCTGCGGATTTGTTCCAGGCGTAGCTGGAGGGCCTTTTCGGGGAGATATAGGAGGAACTCCTTGCAGATGCCAAGGATGAGATTCTGCTGTGCGTTCGTCATCTCGGAGACCAGGATGCCTTCGTACGGAACGACTCGGTTGTCGCGATACGCGCCGCAGACGTGACGCTGGTCATCGTGGTTCCAGCGGCCCCAGGGCATGGCGGGGTCTTTCATGAGCTTGTAGACTTGGGCCTTGGCCTGCTTCTCGGCTGGAAGGTCTTGCATGAGCTGCAGCCCGAGGGCCTCTTCGCGGTGAAGGATGCGGGTGCCCTTGTGGGGGCCTTCGTCGATCAAGTTGGGCTCGGCGCCGGTGAACCAGGGCGAGATGACAATCTGCGACTTGTAAAAGAGGATGTTGAGGCAGAGGTGGTGGCCGTAGAAGGAGAAGCCCCAGGGCGTCTCGGTCGAGGGCTCGCCGAAGATGACGAAGTTGTACGAGTGCTCGTTCATGATGTTGCGGACTTTGATGAGCTCGCCCAGAAAGCCGTTGACGCGCATAGCTCCAAGGGCCTTCTGGTAGCCCTCTGGTGAGAGTGTCACTTCCAGGACCTTGAGGACGGCGGACCGCTGCTCATCGCTAATCTCCTCGAGGCGAATGCCCTTGTCACTCAAAAGGAACTCAGGGTTTGACCAAGTGCGCCATTCAGGTGAGTCAATGTGATAGCAAGTTTTTTCGCGCTGCCCATGGTCGAGGAGCTGAAGTAGGGCTTCGGTGGCCTGGACAACGGTCTCGATGGGGACACCATCGTCGTGTAAGTCAAAGAGGTCGGGTCGAACCTTGCCTGATGGAACTGTTAGCACAATTCAATACTTGTTTTTCTTGTTTTTGTTTCTTTTTGTTTCTTTTCCTTTCTCGCTTTCATAACCAGTCGCGTGGGGGAGTAAGGGTAGACATGCCGTCATTGGTGACGCCCTTGAAGGGCTCCTTGAGCAGGTCTCGCCAATGGAGAAAGAGGCCGTGAAGCCACGGAGGTTGGCCGCCCTCCTTGAATACTCTGGCATACTCGTAAGGATCCTGCTTGGCCATGGTGGTAAAGCGAGGGAGATTCAGGTCGGGGAGATATTGGCGAAACGCGCTGGGCGCCGAGTCGGAGGATTGAGATGCCATGGCTGCGATGCTGCGATGCTGCGATGCTGCGATGCTGCGATGCTGCGATGCTGCGATGCTGCGATGCTGCGATGCTGCTTTTGGTGATGCGACGATCCAAAGGATATAATTCCAAACAAGAGTAGGTTTGAACTCAATTGAGCAGGAAGATGATGGTGAAAGTGAAGAAACAGGTGGGATTTATCTAGGCCGTCTACGTTCCCGTCGCATAAGACACACCAGGCGCTCGTCGGCGTTGGATCCGACAATGAATGGTACGATCCCGTAGGATGGGCCTTGACGAACCAGCTGAAACCCCAGGAAATGCGACAAAAATCGGTCAACTGATTGACAATAGCAGCAACGAGCAAGAGAATCTCGGTCGTGTCAGCGCAA